TTGTTTTATTTATTATTATTATTGTTACTGTTATTGTTGTTTTATTTATTATTATTATTGTTACTGTTATTGTTGTTTTATTTATTATTATTATTGTTACTGTTATTGTTATTGTTATTAATTATTATGATTATCATTAAACAATTGGTCGTAGATATAACACTGCTAAATGATTGACTTTTTACTGTTATCGTGTCAAATACGTTATTGTTGTTGCAGCTCTGTTTTCGCTGTGTTTTAAAAGTTTCAGCTGTTATTATTATTGTTGATGCATTTATAGTTGGCATATAATGATTTCTTCAAATCATGGAAGTAATATGGAACGATTTATTGACAGTAAATACCGAAAGAGCAAAATATTGGAAATGAAGCAGATGATGAGCGATGAATGTTAATGATGAGTGAGTGGATGAACCGGTTGTCCATTCAATATGATCCATAATATTTATTCCATCTCCGATTCAAACAATTAAAAAATCTGCTGACAATTTTTCTCATTGTCCTCATGACAATCTATCATTAATTAAAACCGGATTTATAAATCGCAAAACGCAGAAATTTTATGCTGTGTTATACAAAAAATAATCTTTCAAGTGCTTTTTTTTCTTTTTAATTTTCGTAGATTATTGAAAAATGATCAAAGCCATAAAATATTGCAATGCGGAAGTGATGATGACCTTTATCGGAGCACTTTTAAGCTTCTACAAATTGTTGTAACGAATTATTTCAAGGTTCAAAAATGATTACTACAATGATTCTGAGTGAATTGTAGTAAATGAAGTAAAGTGAAATGAGTAATAATTTGTGTATTGTTGGATCTAACTAATTTTTGAATAAAGAAGATTTAGATAAGAAAGATGAATAATGTTGTTTATTCGTTAAAGTATTTCAGATGAATAATTTATTCGCACTTAAATTATGGTCGTTTTTATTTTTCAACAAATCCGCTAAATTTTTTGAAAGAATTGAAATAAACTGATGCAAAATTTTTAGTATTCAACAAACTCATATTGATCCGAAAAGAAAACTTACAACAGCTAGCATCAGCTTTCCCCGGAATGAGCCAAACATTTTTTTGTGAACACTGGAAAGCTTTACTCTTAAGCGTTGTTGCATGCATCATTTGTCGATAGCGCTCTTGACATCTCGGATTCAGCATATCACAATCAATTTGCTGACCACTTACAAATATTGCAAATTGATGTGGAAAAGATGGTAGAAGAAGTGAAATGGTGATAGTAATGATGAATTGTAATGATAATGGTGATATCAGTAATACAGATGTCAACGATGATGACGATGGTGATAATAAGAATGATGATAAGGATAACATCAGAAATGTTTATATTTGTTGTGAAATTATGGAAATAGCAAGCGTATGAAATGAAATTTTTAAAAACGAAATAGTATACGTTTTCTTAGATCTCCTCCAATTGATCAATTGTTTTAATTGGCAGTTTAGAAATAAAAAGAAATTAGTAAAATAAGCTATTTAGTAATGATGATCAATAATAATAGTAGTAGCAATAGTACCTTGAATAAGAAAATATTTGCAAGTTCGTTTTTGGTCAGTTTCAATAAACTGAACAAACAAATTGTTTCCCCATTTTATAGCTTCGATAATTCATGAAATTGGGAGATGATAGGAGAGCCAGCACCAATAATGACCGATCAATTAAAAATAATAATGAGAATAGTAGTAATGAAGATGATGATAATAATGACAAATTGTTTTGTGTTGATGATGATGATGATGACGATGATAATGATTTATTGTTAATGGTAGTTTTAAAAAAAAAAGAAACAAAAAAAAAGGCAATAAATCGCCCGTAATAACAATAGTAAATTTTAGTGATGAAGATTATTTCAATCAAATGTTACCATACCTTTTTTTACTATACACCCACATATACACATATACATTAAACATATATACAGCTGTATGAATTTCATTTCAAAACATTAAATCATTATCCATATTGAGTAATAATAACATGACCTATGCTCTAATCTGGTATTTCATATGATCTGATTACAACCATTTCATTGATTAATATATATATGTCTACATGAATCATGTAAAAGTTCAAACTTGACATTTTCTGCTACGTGATAATAACAACTATCTATAATACCATGATAATTTGCTACTATAATAATCTCTAATTATAATACTATGATAATAAAATAATTTGATAGGAATAAATATATCCTATTGTAGTTCCAATAGAAGATCATATATCAAAATGATTGATATTTTCTACCGTTACTTGTTAATAAATTGAAGAGGATTAATTGATTTTTGCTCATAAAATAGCTTTAGCTTTCAAATCATTGGAAAAAAAGAAGTGAACTTCTTTTTTTCATTTTTACTTTTTATTTTTGCATCAAATTATTTACAAAAATTATTGTAAATGCTATTCAAGCAAAATCGAATGATCATTTTTAATTTTACTCGCAAAATTTTGCTTTTCTGATTGAAATTTTTGGTTGAAAATTTTCAAATATGTAAATGTCGACAATTACATTTTCATATTATATGCATAACAAAATTTGTTGTTGTTGTTTACTATTGTCGTTGTTGTTGTTGTCGTTGTTTACTATTGTGGTTATTGCTATTGTTAATTGTTAAATACCTTTCAACTTTTCCTCCCAACGATCTTCTTGTTTGATTTATTATTTACTGTGAGCTTTGTTGTGTAGTATTCGAATTAATTGACGGTAACTTAAATTATCCATAATTTATGGAGAAATAAGAAATTTATTTTTTCTCTCATCTAAGTATATTCATTAGGAAGGATCAATCAAATTAATTTTTACTTTAGTATTAGCTACTTACTTTTTCATGTTGTCCTTAAATTTCACTGAATAACAAAAAATAAAAGCAACAATATCAAGTATAAGTATTTAATAAACAAACCATAATTTTGCTTGGAATAGGCTCGACACTACTGCCAAATCGAATATCCTGTTGTTGCTCATATTGCGCTTGAGCAACAGCATCTTGTAACGATACAAACA